CGTCTTAACGCTGCTTTTCAAGAATAGCTATCCTTGCTAAATAGTTTCCAATAAAGTAAAGGCTGTCAAAAAGATACTCAAGTCTTACTCTTTCTCCGTTCACACGACGTGATTCACACACCTTGCCTCTCCTGCCCTGTGGAAAAAACGTTAGATCACAGCAATCAAAAAGCAGACTTCACCTTTTTTATCTGTTTCGGTTTTTTTCAGGGAGCTTTTCATTTCTCTGGAATGTAGATTAAGTATTTAGGAGAAAGCAGCAAAAAGTGTGAAGAAGAGATCTGGGATGTCACTGTGTAGTATCTAGCTTCCTTCTGAACTGCTAATGCATCTCTGGTAATGCAGCTACTAAATAACACTATCTATCTTAAACATAACTACTGAGGGTTGTTTCTCCCCACACACAGTCCCCTCCCCTCCTTTCCCCTCATCTCCTATTCAATGGTAGCTCTCTGCATGTGGGAGGATTCTAATACCTGGAATTTGCATTTTGATAACTATGATCCCATGAAAAACTTCAGTTGTGAATACCAGCGGTGTATGATGTTGTACTGCTGTTTTTTTTTAGGACTACATATACCTGCACATCTTAGTCAACATTACTGCTGTACTTCAATTTGCATGTAATTTTGTCACTCTGGATTTTTCCAGCAGTACATATGAAATGCAGTTTACTCTGAGTGATAACTAAGAGGGAGCAACTAATGATTCTAGGTAGAGAAAGATAAGGATGCAAAAGACCTTATGGTTTATTTTAGGTAATGATGTAGTTGTTATAATGTTGCACAAGTTTCTCATGCTCTCTGATCATCACACCACCTTCATCAATGGACCATATATCCTTCCTTTCTGAAGAGGATCATATGGAAACTTAAACATGTTATCTAACTGTTCTTTAAACCCTGACACTGAATGAGAAGCGAGTTACGGAATGGAGAGAAGTCTATGCACAGATGGTGAAAAGGCATGAGAGAGAGGTGTGGAACAGTGAAACAAAGAGATATGAAGATCTTTTCTGCCATCAGCTTGACTAGCTTTTTGACTGGAACACAGGCACTTCCATGACTTTTCAAACACCCAACTTATCACAACATAGCACAAGATCTACAGCAAAAATGATCCAAATCCATAACCACAGCTTACCATGGGAATTAACAGACTTTGGGTTACCAGCAGGTGCAGGGGCATGATTATTTGTTACAGTTGGTTTTGTTTTCTTTTTTTGTTTTAATTTGGCTTCTTTGAAATAAAAATAGGACTACTCATAATTCATCTCCCCTCTACCAGCCACCAAAACCATCTTCATTTAAAGAAATAAGCATTAATTTCAATGTTAAGTGCATCCATGAATGAAATATGCAACTAAAAGACATTTAAAGATATTTGCACAAATACTTTCTAGCAGTCATTCTAATCTTCATTATCTGGTGGATGAACCCTGCCTCTGAACAAGTCAAATGGTGTTTTGCAGCCAGTCCCTAACTCTGGGGGCTCTCTCTCCTAGTTCAAACCCACTTCACAGCCTTTGCACTAACATTTTTTATTTTGCGCCCTACCTTTACAGCCTCTCATGTTTTCCCTCTGTTTTTGATTTCTAAATGTTCTTTGTTCCTATCTATACAATAAAACCCAGTGCATTCAAAATAAAATGTGGGGTATAAATATGTGAAAATAAAATTTTGGAAAGTTGTAAGCAATTTTTCCAACAAAAAATACTACATATATGAAAATACACAAATCAAGATTTTAGTAAGCCTCACACAGACAGGCACACGCCTACTCTTTCATCCAAATTCTCAGAGCTTTTGCATAATACTTCTTAGTCCCTGAAGATACACACATCTTAAAGTTGAAAAAGATGGACTTGTTAGTAACACACAAATGTTCATAGACATAACATCTTTACAGATATCCTCTGTGAGCAGATCAAGCCACTCTCCATATGTATTTAAATGCAGCGGAAGGCTGGAGTTTTTAAGTTGTCAGATCTGTGCCTGGGTATGAGGGGCTCTATTTTCACTCTTCGAGCACCAAGAGATTAGCAGCTTGAAATCACTTTGACAGTTTCAGTTACTCTATTGCATACCCCAGGGAATTTTAATTCCAACCTGTGAAATTGTAATTGCTTCTCAAGAAGAGCGGAAGGATTCTGGGTAATGGCCACAGCCAAGCTCAATGTCAGAGTTACCAGTTGCTGCCACTTCAGATATTACTTGCTGTTATTCAGACATCACTCCAGCTTTCCATATGGGAAGTTGAACTGGGGAGTGAAACTAGATTAACAGAAATTGTCAGATGTTCAGAGATGTGCAGGCAATGATGTGACAGAGGTGGATGAACTCTTCTCAAAAAGGTACCTCCTCCTTCTTTTGCTCTCCTGCTTTATGGAACAAGCTTTACATAAACTGCTTCTTTGATTTTATATTATTTTTCTAAACAAGTGTACCATTACTAGAAAGCTATGATGAAAAGATTAAATGACAAAGGCCTCCAGCATCCAAAACCATGCACAAGCAGGGCATAAAAAGTGTGCATTTAATATTGTTCAGTAGAGACTTAAGATGTCTTTGCTATTTAAGTCTTGTGGTTTGCAAGATTCCTCACCAAAAACAGCCAAAGAGAACTCAGAGCTACCACAGACATTTAAGAAAAATAGTCAAGGCTTCCTTGGTACCAAAGGAAATTAGATTCTAATTTGCTTTAAAAAAAAACAAAGGCATTGTATGTAGACTGGTGTTTAGCAGACACATTCTCTAGTGATGAGGTGTGTTCGTGCACGTGTAAAAGTGACATCAACCGAGTGTGGGGAAACTTCTGCAATGACCTCATTAACCTGGAGCGCAGTAGATTTTTCACCTCTTCTGGTGGTTTGCAAGGAGAGAATGCTTGGTGCAAGTAGGCCTCAAACATAATGCTGATGTAAAAATTAGAAACACAACCTAGCATGACAGAGCCATTCAGGGAGCCAAAAAATCACAGATCCGATGTGTTCAGATCAACCCATTCCATGAAGTATTACAGTTCACTCTATGCTCACTAAGGTTTCCCAGCCTGCAACAATAGCCCCAGGCAGCGTGCACTTTGGGTTTTGCCTGAAGGACAGGATGAGCTGTTTGACCAGAACTGACTTGTTCAGCTCAGTGGCTTCGAGAGCTTTAGTTGCAAATAAACAGAAACAAATGGCAAACACTCTACTGCTCTGCAATACACAGTGTCAAAAAGCCCTCTCAAAATCTAAAGGAAGATAATAAAATACTTGACAACAACATTTCCTACTTACCAGATTAAAGTTCAGTTTAAGAATATACTGCATCTGTAGGCAACGTAATTTACAAAGTCTTCTTTGTCCTCTTTTGGTATGTTGTATTATTTCTAAGAAAATAAGCTGGTCCCATTAAAGCCAATGATGCACAGAATAGAAATCACAAGCTTTGTAAATCTCTGTAACAGCTGATGCAGTGAGTCTGTAATTGCTATGATTAGATAAGCTAGAGTGGCTGACAGAGTGCTAGAGGCATAGAACGTATCTGCATAGTTTATTCCCATCAAATGCAAAAATTTGGCTCACATACGACGACTTTGTCAACTCATAGTTTTCCTGAGAACCTTGCGACATGTGGCACTTTCCTGAAAATTTCAGCTCCAAGAGACAAATGGTTTTTGTTTTTTTTTTTTTTTGAGAATTTCAGAGTTGTTAAAAATGTAAATTACTGATTGTTACATATTCCTGATTGTACAGAAAGGCCTGGAAAAAAAAATAAAATCAACCAAACAGAAGCAAATCAAACGCACAGTTGTTTTTTCCTTTTAGTGTTTTTTGGTTGGTTGGTTTCTGTTGTTTGCATTGTGTTTTTTGGTTTTGGGGGGGGGGGGGGGTTTGTTTTTGTTTTTTTTTTTTAAATCTCATGAATTTTGAATGAATTTTTTAAATCTCACAGATTTTGTTCATGACCTTCAGTGGCTGCAGTAAAAAATATGATATTCAAGTCATTACACAGCTGACTTCCTGAAGACAATTACATCTGTTGTTATAATTTACAGGCTGCACCGAAAGCATCATGGTGGAACTTCCTCATTAATTGTCTGTAATTATTATGAAACCTCAGTTTACAAAGTACAAAGCACTCGTCCTAGAGGATTATTCATTTGCACTGTACAGCCACTCTGCTGGGTTTGGCTGGGATAGAGTTAATTTTCATCATTGTTGCTGGTATGCAGCTATGTTTTGGATTTGTGACAAAACTCATGTTGATAACACAGGGATGTTTTAGTTACTGCTGAGCAGTGCTTACACAGTCAAGGCCTTTTCTGCTCCTCACACCACCCCACCAGCGAGTAGGCTGGGGGAGCACAGGAAGTTGGGAGGGGACACAGACGGGGCATCTGACCCCAGCTGACTAAAGGGATATCCCACACCATATGGCATCATGTCACCAATAAAAGCTGGGGGGAAAACAGGAGGAGGGACACACACACACAGAGTTATGGTATCTTCCCAAGTAACTGTTACGTGTGATGGATCCCTGCTTTCTTGGAGACGGTTGAACATCTGCCTGTGGATGGGAAGTAGCAAATTAATTCCTTGCTTTGCCTTGCCTGTGTGCACAGCCTTTGCTTTATCCATTAAACTGTCTTTACTCAACCCATGAGTTTCCTCGCTTTTAACTTTCTGATTCTCTCCCACCAGAGGGAAGTGGGCGAGTGGCTTCATGTTAGCTGCCTACCAGGGTTAAACCACAATAGCCGTGTAGACAGCTCAGCAACAATGCACGAACGAATGAACAATATCATGCAGTCAGCTGTGAGAAGAGCTGGACAGAGTCCAGTTCCTGGCTGACCAGCACAATCTCAAGATGTATGGAAATCCTGTCATGACAAAAATGCCTTGAAGAAAGTAATCAGAAATTTGCAGTGTGTAAAATGTACCCTCCTCACTAACAGAGCAATATTGTCTTATACACAGCACAATACAATGTACCGCCAATACAAGACTCGTGTAGTTCTCTGAGCATTACACTAAATCTATATAGTATTAAATCCATCTTTTAACAGATCTCTACCACCAGAACTCCATATTACCATTCAATGATAAAAAAAGCAGTATCTTTAAAACTATTTATAAGTAAAAAATAATTCTCATTCTATTAACACAGCATAGTAACTCATTGTGAATTTGAGAGAGGCAAAAGAGCAGGGCAAAAATTCTTTCAGACATGACAGCAAAATAAACAGCAACAAATGACAAACTTTAATGGCCCAGCAGTTTGATTCTAATGTAAAAAGACACATATCAAACCATAACTGCACTAAGCAAAATCTTTAAGAAAGCTTTAAATGTTCTGCCCATAAAAGATCACCAATATCACTCAATAGAAATATTTCTCATAAACTACATGCAATTTTACCCGCTACAGCAGTTATGAGTAAGCAATGCAAACATTGCACCACTTTAGAAAAAAAGGAAGAAAGATGCAACAAACTGTTCTGCCAAACAAGGATCTCAAATTTAGCAAGAGAGGTCTCCCTAGGGGTTATTAATATTCCCTCCTACAAATGACAGGAAAGGCATAGGGTGAGTACAAATTATTGCTCAATTTAAAATAGCTTTTTTAACAAAAAAAAAAAAAAGAAAAGGAGTTGTTGGCAAAAATGTTTCCTTTGAAGATTTTAAACAGCAGTTTTATTGTTTTCATAAAACCCTCATTCAGTTCACAGTTCTGTTTTCATTCCACCATAGTAAAACATAACAAGGGCTGCCAGAAGAGCCAGGCTGACAGACAGGATCTTCAGTCCACCTCCTTCTTGTTGCCATGGGAGCTGCAAAGCCATCCATGAGCCGAGTGGTGTTTTCATTGGGATCTCAGCAGAAGGGTGAGCTTTCCAGTTTGTGCCATTCTGTGGTGCATGTCTGAACTCCTGTGAAGAAATGCACGTATTAAGATTGCAACTGTGTTAAGTATTTCTGACTGTACATACCAAATACAATCTCCTCTTTATATTGAGGTTCAAATTAATGTTCCTTTCCAAGATAAACAACAATTCAACTATCACTGCATCATCATCAGGTCATCAGCTTTTATACAGAAATCTTCCCGATGCCATCCAAAGTCAGTCTTTCTAATGAAGTTACCTGCCAAATCAATGAAGCTGTTAGCAACAGAAACAAATCTCAAGACCTCAATGTCATCAGAGAGTTGTTTGATGATAAATTTTTTCTATTTTTTTTTTTTTTCTGCTATCTCACTACTCTCCCATTTTTGGCTTCTTCAAAAGAAATGTCTAGCCAGTGATAAAGAGGACCACAACACAACAATCCTTTGCACAGCAGGGCTCTTCTAAAGTCAATCATCATCTCCTGGTATGCCAGCTCAGCGGTGCTTGAAAATCCTCCCACAGGGCTTTTCCTTTCCTCTGACCCTCAGGAGGCAGCTGTACTAAAACACTCACCTTCCATTCAGCATATTGAATCCAGGTTCCCTGCTGTGCCTGCCATTACCATTCTCAACCTGACTGCAAGCACAAAGATCCCCCAGAATATGAGGACTTTTAACTGAAGCACAAGTTACAGATGTTGAATCACTATTTCAGCAGAAAATCCAAGTGGAAAGAATAAGGAACTCTTCCCTCCTGCAGCCTTGTTCAATTCAGCATTGTAGATATTCAAAGGTAAAAACATCTGTTAAAACTGAAATCTGATGACATTTGCAAGAGGTGTTAAGTGGTAAAGGTGTAAGTAAACAAAGGTGTAATGATCTTGCATCACAACATTCAGTATTTCTGTTCATTATTCTTTTCTTCTCCATTTCAATAATCCCTTAGGAATTCAACTGAGCTCAGATGGATTTTTAATTGGTTTGAAATTTTCCAGTTATAACAGGCTTTTGGTTAATCCATTTTCCTCCACTGCACCCCCCGCCCCCCACCAACCCACTTCACATAAAAATAAGTCAGGGACCCAGAAAGCATCTATCTGGATAATCTTGTATTTCTAAGCAGCTGAAGCAGGGTCCCATGAAAATACAGTTCAGATGTCCAACTCCTTCTTTCACCAAATGTATTTCTGGGCAAACTCAAAGAAATATCAAAGCTCCAAGGAAGGTGCCTGTCCATGAAAATGTGACAGCACAATTCAAACTGTCTGTAACTACCTCCTGTTTTCCATTTCATGAATCACCTCCATTATAGTAATTGTAGAAGGAAAATAATGATTACTACTGGTTAGGTAAGTAAGCATCAAAGGGACAAATGACAGCCTGGTGTAAGTGCTATTCTAACATCTGAGGTTTTGTTCATTTAGAGCACACTTAACACAGGCAAAGGGTTACTGAACAAGTGACCTATGAAATAAAGATGACTTCTTATATATATTGCACCTAGAAGACCATCAACCTGGTAAACAGAGGAAAGGAAGCAGTTAAGCAAACTGGAGTGTAGTTCTCCACAGTTAAAGGTACAATAACAACACTACTCCATAACTTCAGTCTTGTACAGAATATGTTAGCTTCATCAAAAGCTACAAAGCTGCTTCGTATCGTGAAGTTATTAATTACAATCTATTTCTAAGCCATATGAAATTTAAGTAACTGGCTACAGCTATTTTATCCCTCAAAATCAAAGCTGATTAACCTTTGCCTGCAGAATAAACTGGAAACTGTACAGTATATTAAGGAGGGTTTATATATTAATCAAAACTCATTTGTAATTTATTCGTTCTAGACATTTATAAAGCCTTTTTTTTTCTTTGCAGGTCTCACAATCTCAACCAATCTAACACATATAATTTATGGTCATGACCATTTTTATATGTATCATTGGTACATTAACACTAAGGCTAAGGTGATTTAAAAGAATGGATAAGGCTGTAAAAATATCAATACAACCAAAGACTGAGTTCTTCCGATACTTAATTTTCACAGATTCATACCTAAAATTTGGCTGACTAGAACCAGAAGATTCCCAACTCCTTATTAAATATTTCTACATAGCTTGATAATCAGTAAAGTCCTGAATATTTAGCTGTACAAGACTAGATGCTATCCCTTAGAAAACTGATAAAAAGGGCCAGTGCCTCACAAATGACTTTGTAACTTTCATGCATTCATTCATGTTCCTGGGCAGTAGTTTTCAGTAGTGATTTCACTGGTGCTCGATTTATTTTACATTTTTTCTGGTTTCGTTTTCCAACACAAAATCAAATAGTCTCATTTTGATCATGAATATCTTATACCTTTTTTTGATACCACATTGTTTTCTTAAACCTCTATTGCCGCATGTGACGCATATGAACTAGGCAGTAGGGGAATGCCACAGCCAGTTGTCCCAGTGGTATTTCACTTGAGGAAGTCAGCCTGTAAAGTTGTGAGGCCCATTTTCTTCCTTACTTCATCATATTTCCCATAAATTAGGTGATCATACTGTTATAGTAAACTAATTTTTGATTTTCTTGCTGTAGATGATCTTTGATAGTATTTTACTAATATTGAAACTTTACTGGCTTGGAGGCACAATTCTTGCAATTTCTCAACGTTTTTGTTTTCCTTCTAGCTTATATTCTGCATTCAGATGCATTCTCTTCTACTGGTAGTCACATTTTCTAAATTGCTAAAAGTTTTTTGATTTTTGCAGTATCCCAGATCACATAAAAGACTCTCAATTTAAACCAGAAGTTTTGCTTTCATTAAATACTCCTCCTGCTCATGAAATACTACTCCTATTAACTTGATAACCTGCATTCTTTGCAAATTTTGTTATGGATTAAAGTGTTCTTATATGGACAAAAAGATCGCAATTTGCAAACGAAAATGGCCCTTTTCTTTAAGAGGTACTTCACAGTATTGCTTAAACCACTAATGCATTACTGTTTAATAACGTCTGTCTATTCAGATGATCCCGCCAAAGACTTTCTGTCAAGAAAAACAATGAATACGTTTGTCTGATCCATGTTTTCTAAGAGCTGTTCTGTCATTTGCCCCCAAATTCTGCCCTGCAACATTGACACGTGGGTAATACCACGAGCTTCCTTGAAAATTTCTGTCATTACTGTCACAGAAGACATATTTGTAAAAAAGGGTACATCTGGTTCCCTGCAAATGAAAGGCTCCTCTAGAATATGGCAGTCTTTTGTGTCCCCTGCAATTCCTACGACAGCTTTTAAAACCAGCATAATCTCTCGGAGACACCTGCAGGTAGAGGCCTCTTCCTAAGAGTCTGTCGTGCAGTTCTGTAAGACACGCAACAAAACTCAGCAGGAAGAGGAAGAGCCCTGCAAAGCTGACCACGTTCTTGCGCTCTCTGAAGCCTGAGCAGAGGGCTGAGTGGCCCTCACTGCATTCTGGACAACAGTGACATGCCTGTCTATAATATAATCAGTTCTTACTAACATAGAAATGTTGTATTACCAGCTGTGCTAGTGAAAAACACTGTATATATATATTTTCATTTGGGCAAAAAATCTTGTAGTGTCTGAGGAGCTAATTTTCAGGTAAAGTACACAGTATATATTGTAGTACATATTGTATGCACAGAGGAAGAGGGGAGAGGATGAATTTACAGAAACTGAAACTAAAATTAAGCCTTCTAGGGTAGACAAAGCAAATTACAAGAGCTTCATTGGGCTGTCTTATGAGCTTCAGGATTTGCAATAGTGTAGAGCTATATTCCAAGATCCTCCCCTATATGTTTTCTCCCTAAAGCTTTCTACATACTGTGCCTTGGAAGAGCTATTCAACACACCTGCAAAAAAGATCTTTCATGTTTTGTGGGGAGGGGAGTTCTCCACAGAAAACTAAGTTTATTAGAGCTCTTTTATAAACCTTTGGTGTAAAAAAACTGGGTGGAGGCAAAGACTGCATGTGTTGAACTAGCAGTTACACTGGTCCACTCCCTGTGCTCTCACTTCATAGAAGTATTAATTCTGAAAGGTCCTTATGTGTATCTCTAGATAAAATACTGGCAGTGCATTCACTTTTCAAGGAAACCTTCAAGACATTTCTGCAATATTCCGAACTGATATAAATGGTGATATTTACCATACACTATTACTAGTCAGAGTGCAGCAATTTCTTAAGCTGAGCTCAGAAATTACACTTTCGTAGCTGCAAGACTGAGGAAAATCAGCATAATGATTCAGTTCAGTGGAATTCAGAACTAAATCCACAGCTTCATTTCCTAAAAAATACTTGGAGGAAATCCTAGAGTAAAGAAGTTTCCAGAAATTTGTGTTTATACTAATTTCTTTATAAACTCTTTGGTAGACTTGTTAGTAAGGAGCACTGCTCTTATTAAGAATGAAGGAAAAGGTACCATAAGATTTAAACCTATATACTATTAATCAAAATGAGGGGAGGAAGGGAAATTATCAAACTGAAATGCAAAGACAGACACTTTGAGGCATGCATCTTGTATTTCCATGGAGGCAGCCTTTCATCTTGTTTTGGCAGCCACAAAGTAAACATAAGACTTTGCTAATAAGGTATAATATAAATTATTAAACCATCCAGTGAATGATCAAATGCATTTCAGATTATTTTCTGAATAATTCTGCCTTGACGACTGCCAGGAGTAATATATTTTGTGCACTCTTGCACAGACCCATTGATTGCTGTCTTTCTGAAGCTGCAGTCCCAGACTTAAACCGCTGTGCATGAAAGAAATATATAATCACATCAAAACCTAAGCTTTGGCATCTGTCGATCACAGCCTAGCTTTTTGTACATCTCACTTCATGTTAGTCAACAAAGACATGAGAGCAACTCTTTAGCTCTGAGCTGAGGTTTTAATAGATTCAAAACATTTCTTACATGCAAATTTCTTTTATGGCTCAGGGGCACTGTTAGAGCTTGAAGTGCTAGCTAACTGCTGTGAAAAACTACTTGACTGAGCATATTTCAAGATAAATTAGACTTCTGAATTTTTTA